TGATCGTGTTGATTTAAGGTCCAAGTTCTAATACCCGGAGAGCTGTCCCCCCCTTAATTTTTGTTCTTTTTTTATCTCAATCGTCTGATTTTAAACATTTCAACTGTCGGTTGTTTAAAATTGTTAAGTTGTTCAAAAGAATAAAAGATCATGATCGTGTTAATTTAAGGTCCAAGTTCTACCCTCCCAAGAACTCTAATAATTTTAATCCTCTTAATTTTTTTCTTCTCCTATCTTTCCTAATATCGTCTGATTTACGTGTTTTTTGCAGCTCTTTCGCCAAGAAAAATAAAAGTAGTCATAGTTTAAGTTCCTTACCCTTAAGTCAGAGCTTCAATTGTAATCTGAATGTACCATTTCTTGTCGTAAATAAATATCTGGGCTTTAAAATTGACAAGTAACATAAATATCTTAAAAGCTATTAAACTTTTTTTTTTCTAAGAAAAAAATCGCCAATTTGGCGAGCTTTTTCCGCCTAGATAAAAATTATCAAAATCGATGAACGATTCTCAATTTTTTTAAAATTTTTATAGGCTCAAATAATGCAGTGCAAGAGTAACTTTTTAATAATTAAAAAACAAAGTCACAAATGATTTTCATTTTCATAAACTGTGGCTTTTCTTCATATTGACGTTCTATGTCATTTTCAGAATAAACATAGAGGGCGCTGCATAAAAATAATTTTCAACTTGATCTGACATTCATGAATAACTGTTAAAAATTCATACCTGTTATTAAAATTACAGATGTGAAGTATTCGCAAAAGTTATTTCATGTGAAAACAGAGCCTTCAAAATACAGTTTTTGTGACTATAAAGAACGATTTACTAATTTAAGTTATGTATTTTTAAAGTAAGCTCTATCTTTTTAGGCGAAGGAAGTCTCAGTGTAAGAGCAAAATATTTCTTGCGTTTGTCTTACGTCATTTATTTTACCTTACTGACATTGCCTTCCAGCAATTGTCAATTCCTGTTTCCCATCACACATACCACAGGAGAGAGGAATTTTTTTTAGTTTCTTGTACAATTGTATACCTGCAAGCGACGTCATCGTAGATTCAGAATCGCGTCATTCGTAGATTCAGAATCCAATCAGGTTTGGCATGTGTGACTACTGTTAAGGCCTGGTTGGTTTCTTAAGACAAGAGCCTTGTCTGGGCATCAGCGGGAAGTTTACGTTACCCCGACGCCAAGCGTGAGCAGTCGTTCCAACTCAAACATTATCTTGCATTGCGCAAGCGTTAATGACGTGAACAAATATTTATTTTGATTTTTTAGTTCGTTCCTACAACTTTATGCGTTATTGCCGACCAGTGCTTTAGAGGGAAAAAAATGACCTTTCAATCTGTAACCACAGATTGTTTTAAACACGGAATCTTTGTAATATAATACAAATTAGATCATTTTTTAAAGTCAGAGATTAATTTCTCTTCGGAATCAAAATCTTGGCAGATTTCAATGATCTGTTGGCTGCTGTCCGCCATTGCTTCCGTCGTTAACGTTACGTTCCAATCCAACAGCAGTTGATTCGGACGTCAGTCGTCGTTTAAGCTGAGCGTTCGATGACGTATGCTGTCTAACTCACAAATTAACCAATCAGAGGTTAGCACTCGCTTCAAGCTAACGTTTTGCAACTCTGACCTGTCCTAAGAAACCAGGCCTTTATACAGGTATCGAATTAGATCTGATTTAAATCGCATGGTTAATTGCGCATTCTTCTTCTCGAGTTGCAAGTACTCAATTCCACGCAATGTCAGTGCAATGCATAATTCAATTCCATGCAATATCAATGTAATGCATGTTATACGAGTAGTTTTTCAAATTTAGTATAATAAAGAGTCTGACAAGCTTAAATAAAACGGCTTTGAGTGATTTTTGTTTTTTTAAAAAAATTTTTTATCCTTGCTACTTTCTTTCATTTTAGCCATGATTTTTTAAAGTACATTGTAGATGAATTCTAGCCCATTATGCATATTTTTAAAGTTGTTTGCTATGAAATTCTAAATAAAAATTAATTGCTAATAATTAAGTATGCAGGTTCTTTTTCAAATTTCCATAAAAATAGATTTCACGCTACCCTTTCTGAGGCAGAAAACAAATTTATTACAACACATCGCGGTTATTATGCCACGTCACAAACAAAAAAATCTAAAGGAATAATAGCAAAATCACATCGTTCAAGAACCGCGTGTAGCCATCTAGTGGTGACAAACCTTACACTAATTTAAATTTAATAAAGCTGTGCACACGATTTTAATCATGGCGAGGGAAATAATTTCTAGGAAACGTTGGCTTACATTTTTTAGGAGTTCGTAGTATCACCAAACTCTAGTTATATATTTTGTTCTACATACTCCCATTCCTAATATTATTCTACTTATTTTTCTTACTCCTTAAAAATTATTCCTATTATTTTTTAGCTAAACTTAATTTGATTTTGTTACGTTGAGTTCGTTAATTGGTAAAACAGTTGTGTTACATTAAGAATAATATTTCAGATATTCAAGAAAAGACATATAGTTTTAAATAAAATATTTATCCAAGAATTTATAACAGTATTTACTCTTTGAAAACCACCCAGACGCCACATTTTTTTTTTTTTGGTAATAAAACTAAAAACCAACTTTGCATTTGTTGTAAAAGGTTACATGTTATAAGAATTTCAATTATTCGTCTAGAACAGAAAACTTTAATCATACAGTATATATAGAATATAGACAGTACATAATGTACAAATACCCTTTTAAACATCGTTCGAAGAGCAAACGTACTACCACAGCAGGACATTGTCACAAATCTTTTCTACAACTTATCTATTTAGCACACCTATAGTGGACATGCTTAGACGCGTTCAGAATTTCCATCTGCTTTAGGATAAATTAAATCTTTAGTCTTCACTCAGAGCAAGTGAAGATTTCAAAATCTCATTCCCACCTTCATGAATTGCAAATGATCACTCCTTCGAATACATCACACGTTTCTCTGCTGTTCGATATAAAATGTTCTCGAATAGACTAACAAGGGGGACGATGATTTTTGAGAGCTTGTCACTACAAAGTGGGGAGGAAACGGGGGAAATTCTTTACATGACTTGGTTAGGTTGATTTGTTAATTAACTTGTAGCTCTTTTTGTTGCACGTCGCCATAACTGATTGGCCTTTTTTTTTTTGCCATGATGAATTTAACTCGGATATCACTTCCTCTATTTTATGTTTAAAGGCAAATTATGATAAATTATTCAATATGCTAAATCTAATATATCTAAATTTACTTTCCTTGTACTTTTTATAATATGCTGATGAAACGAGAAGAAAAAACATATTTTTGTTATTAAAAGGAGTTTGAAAGGGTTAGACCATTCTAGGATTTTCGAACATTCCGTGAAAGGTGCCGTAATATCTAAAAACGATGCGTTCTATGTTTTAAGATCCAGAAAAATCAGTAAGTACTCGAATTCTTAATTTTTGAATGACACTACCAGAATGACACTACCACTATGTGTACCCCGAAATTTTTTTCTCGAAAACACATTTTTTAGACCATTGATGTCCTTATACCCGACCGCAAGAAAATGGTCTATATATATATATATATATNTGACATCCCACATTATAAATGTTCTGAGTTTCTGATGCAAAATCAGCTGAGTAAAAAAAATTATCACCTAGCTAGGATATATATATGAAAATTATAGATACATGAAAAAAGAGGGGGAAAGAAAAATTATAATGAAAAAAATAACAAACTGGAAAAAAAAGAACAAATATTTTTTTAAAAAATCCGGAAAATAAAAGATATAATCTTTTCATCAGCCCACACGATATATCCGCAAAAAAGAGTGCTTTCTAATATTGTATCAATATAGCCAAAGCAAAATATATCAATACAATAGTGTGAGGAGCACTAAAAAAATTTTTTTTACAAAAATTTTACAACAAGTAAAATAGAACACATTAAGTAAAAATATCACGTAAAAACAGAAAATAAAGTATAGAGAAAAAACAGAATAAAACATGAAACGAAATCTATAAAGCAAATAGCGAATTCAAATGAACTTACATGAACGGGAAATTTTTCAAGAATGATTTAAAATATTTTCGTAACAAGATTGCCAGATTGCCAAAGGAGCAAATTGAGGTAATGCATAAATAGAGGGGTTTTACATTCTTACTGCAGTACTGAAGCTCGTTCTTATTGCAGTACTGAAGTGCGTTTCATTTGTTAGTTACCAAGGATGGGCCCGAAAATGTGTGCTAGGTAATATTATACTGGATAATTTAAAGAAGTTGACAATTAATTATTTTAGAAAATTAACATTTATTTAAGAAAAAAAAAAGAAAAGAGAAACAAACATGAATTGCCTGTTTTGCACAAATTATTTATTAATTTTACTATAAGCGATTCAGTTTTTCACATATTTTAATAATAATAATCAGTGATATTTTCTAACTCATAGCTCTATTTGAACAAAAAAATAGTTTATTTCGCACATTTAAATATTTAATTATTTTATATTCGCTGTGTGAGATAAATTTTATAAAGAACATCACGTTGTTGTTTTTTTTCAATTCTTACTATTATTTCACACTTTCCATACATATATTTATACAGTTTGTTCAAATTTTCAATCGTTAATAAAATAATTTTTATTCATACATTAAAGTTCAAATACATTTTTTTTAAAATCTTGTTCTGGATGATACTTGAAGTTCATACAGTTTTATCAAATACTAATTCACTAATTAAATTTAATTAATCAATGTTACTTTCATATGGGAGAAAAAATTTTAATTATTTAACAAAAAGTAACTAAAATAAAATTCTTTGTTGACCTAAGGAGGAATTGACTTAAAATTTTTTTTATACTTGTTTCATATTCAATTAACAGTTGCTATGTATTTAACTAACAAGCCATTGAAGCTATTCATAAAATGGTTAGTTCTTTTACACGGAGAAGTTGCATTTTTAATTTGCCATTTATAATTCTTAAATGAAACCTACCTGTAGATAGACGCCGGGTAAATCATATTTTTGTCCTTTGGGGTTGTCCCTGGGGAGGTACCTGTAGAACTCTACATCATTTTTGTACCACTTGACGGAGTACAGTTCGTCTGATTCTAAGTCTAGTGTGCAGTTCAACCATATAGATTCACCCCGCATTACTGCAGTTGGTACATCCAGGCTCAGCATCCGAAGGCTTAAGCAGCCTGCAAGACACAAACAAATAAGGTTAAATTGCATGTGTAGAAATAAAGTGTTTTTTATTGCAATTTACGGAGATGAAAATACATTGAATTTACTATAATTAAATTAGTTTATTCTGTTTCATCATTTTTTTACAAATTATTATCAGATATGTCGATGAATATTTGCATAAGAATTTAAAAATTCGTTACTTGGGATTGGAAAGTTCATGCATATTATTACTTTGCGGGGAACTACTTTTAAAAATAAACAAAAATTCGATATGATGTGCAGGTGGTGTTTATGAAAATCAATGATATTAGCTATTGTTAATATGAACTGGTAATGCCTTCAAGTTAATATGAACTGGTGTGAATTTTAAGATTCGAACAAAAAGCTAAATATATAAGTAATAATAATGTATCGGGTTACTTTATAATCACGGACATTAAGATAAACCGAAATAGCCAGCTGCAAACTTACTATAAGAGCGTTCATGATCAGGAACAAGAGCAACTAATATATATATATACTACTGGCCATAAAATTGCTACACCAGGAAGGAATGCAAAGAACAGAATGATATTTATTGGGCACATACATTATAGTTGGAAGAACAATTGATTAAATTTTTCAGGATATTTGGATACATAGATCCTGAGGAATCAGTACTCAGAGCAGCCTCCCCTGGCAGCAATAACAGCAGTTATTCTCCTGGGCATCGAGTCGAACAGAGATTGGATAGCATGGACAGGTACAGCATTCTATGCAGTTTCAACATTATGCCACGATTCATCGATCGTAGTGACTGACGAGTGATGGCGTGCCAGTCATTCGGTAACCATTTACCAGACGTTTTCAATTGGTGAGAGATCATCAGAACGTGCTAGCCAAGGGAACAGGCGAACAGGTTCTGTGTCAAGGAAAGTCAGGACAGTACGGTCAACATGGGGTCGCGCATTGTCCTACTGAAACGCAGCGTTATGGAGGCCTCGAAGATAAGGCAGAGAAACTGGCCCTAACACATCAGAAATGTAACGGCTGCTGTTCAAAGTGCCGGCTATGCGAACAAGAGGTGATCGAGAAGTGTATCCAATGGTACCCCACGCCATTACTCCAGGTGATGGGCAAGTATGACGATGTCGCATGCAAGCTGCCAGTGGACGTTCTCCACGATGTTGCCAAACACGGAAGCAGCCACCACGATGCTGTATACAGAACCTGGATTCGTCTGAAAAGACGACGTCATGTCATTCCTGCGTCCAGGTTCGTCGTTGATCACACCGTTGGAGACACTCTTGCCTGTGATGTAGCGTCAAGGGTAGCCAAAGCCATGGTCATCGTGCTGACAGTCCATGCCGCTGCAAACATCGTCGAACTGTTCATGTAGGTTTGCTTATCGTAAGGTATTCCAAGTTTGCTTATCATAAGATATTCTAAGTTTGCTTGTCGTAAGGTATTCCAAGTTTGCTTATCGTAAGGTATTCCAAATTCGCTTATCGTAAGTTATTCCAGTTTTTCATATGGTAAGATATTCCAGGTTTGCTTATCACAAGGTATTCCAAGTTTACTTATCGTAAGGTATTCCTGGTTTGCTTATCGTAAGGTAATCCAGGTTTGCATATCGTAAGGTATTCCAAGTTTGCTTATCGTAAGGTATTCCAAGTTCGCTTATCGTAAGTTATTCCAGTTTTGCATATCGTAAGATATTCCAGGTTTGCTAATCACAAGGTATTCCAAGTTTGCTTATCGTAAGGTATTCCTGGTTTGCTTATGGTAAGGTAATCCAGGTTTGCATATCGTAAGGTATTCCAGGTTTGCATATCGTAAGGTATTCCAAGTTTGCTAATCGTAAGGTATTCCAAGTTCGCTTATCGTAAATTATTCCAGTTTTGCATATCGTAAGATATTCCAGGTTTGCTTATCACAAGGTATTCCAAGTTTGCTTATCGTAAGGTATTCCAGGTTTGCATATCGTAAGGTATTCCAGGTTTGCTTATCGTAAGAAATTCCAGGTTTGCTTATCGTAAGGTATACCAAGTTTGCTTCTCGTAAGGTATACTGTTGTAGAAAAGAAAAATCAGCGTCAGCGACAAAAAAAATTCGAAATTGAGATTTATATATATTTAGCATCTATGTACGATAAACTACATGTCGCAAAAAAACATTTTCAAAACTAAATTTTGCTTTATCAGTTTTCTGAAATTCAAATTCTATTTTAGCGTCCCCATTAGCACTAGAAAGAAAAAAAGTTCTCGAGCTGCGGAATCTAAAGTGAAGCACTTGCTTTTGTTTTTTCAATTGCACGGGAGTATACCAGGTTTGCATATCGTAAGGCATTCCAGGTTGGCTTGTCGTAAAATGATCCAGGGCTGCTTTTTCTTAGTTATTCCGTGTTTGCTTGTCGTAAGGTATTTCTTACTTGTTTTGCTTGTCCTAAGATATTCTATGTTTTGTCGTAAAATTTTTCACATTTGCTTGTCAGGAGTTTAGTAATTCAGGTTCGTTAAGAATTCCAAATTGGCTTATCGTAATTTACATATATAAAGAAAAAGAATTTTTTAAGATTATTTTAATTAAAATAATTTACTTTGAGAAAGGGTTAAGCAGGATAATATGGAACTTTATTTATAAGAAATCCTTTTCTTTTTCATACACTGAAGTAATGCGGATTTGATTCATGCTTTTCTAGAGACGCAAGTATTGGAATTTGCTTTTAAAATGTATGCATTTTTTTTCTTCTTTTGCTTTTTCATGCACATATAACGTTACTAACACTCGTCGAAAACAAACTTTTTTTTCCCCTTCTTATGTATGCGCCTACGTTTATCAACGTCAAACTTTTTCCTTGTCACTAAAGCGAAACACACCTTATACCTTATTTCTTCCCTCTTTTCCCTTTCTTCTTATTCTTCTATAGGGAATAAATTCGGCTCTGTCACTATTTCGAAGAATAAATAAGTGAAACCATGTGGTAAAAATCGGGGAGGGGGGCAATGTCATTTTATTCGGGGAAAAGAGGTAGATAGTGAACTCTTTTCAGAAAATTCGAACACGAATTCGTACATTCAGTCTCAAACGTTTTTCTGCTTCTATTTCGATACAGAAGCTCTTTCATTCCTTGTTCTATTTATTGGTTTCTAAGATACAGCAACTTCTTTTTCTTCGTAAGGGTTTAGAAGGTGGGAAAAAAAAATCTGGCAACAAGTTTTAAAAGCAAACGATTCTATTGAGAATTGCTGAAGGGTATCTTAACGCTGTTGACACTTTCACAAATACATATTTTAGAAAATCTTGGATTAAAAGGTGTTTTCCCCTTTCACCTTCATTTCCAAACGATATATTTTCCTTCTAAATATAAAATCATTTTGAAATTTATTTTTTTCTTCGGAGGAAGCATTTAAACTTGAAATTGTGTCTCTCATCGTTTAGGCTTGTTTAAAAATGTTTTTATTATTTTTTTTAAAAAATTTGTGTTTATTTTTATAAAGTAATTGAAATCCCACTAAGATTAAATAGATGTGTTTTCTTTTTCGTAAATTTTCATTATCTTTTTACAAATGTTAGATTTTAACTAGCGAGGAACAATTTTTAAAAAAAAAATTTCCGAGTAGATATAAACCTAAGAATTTTCAGATAATTTGTGTGGCGCTGCAAGCTCTTGGCTCCCTATACTTATGGATTACTGTTTTCGGCGTGTTTAGAAGTCATTTGGCTTACAACGTGATCATTGTGTTTTTAGGCTATCTTGAGAAGTATTTCTGGTATACTTGTACTTGTTACCTGATTTATAATTTTTGCTTAAAAGAAGAATCGTTGTATGTGTCGTCATTTGAAGACCTGTCATTTCAAAGGCGTAAGAATTGTAATAAGAAAAAAAAGAATCATTAAAAACACTTCCTACCTTGTTAAAAATATACAAACTTCGAATTATAAACCTAAATGATAATTTGTAAAATGAACTTAATCCGCTGCTCGAACAATATGCTACCACTAACGCATGATGGTGCTGGCTTGCACCAAGAACAAACAATAATAAACAATTAAAATGAACTCAAATCAGAATTGCTTAAAAAGAGAATTCTTTTTAATCTAATACCCATGTCACTTTTTTTTAACAATACATCTATAAATAACTAAAACCAATTTTCACTTCAAACTCGCCAAAATTACTTAATATCCTTAGTATCTTATGCTTACAACTGATTTGAGCTAAGAAATTATATAATTTATTTCTTTTATTAAAAGCAAAATTATCTGTTTGAAAATATCGCCTCGCAGAATAAGCTGTAGTAAGCAGCTGTATACTTTCTAACCGGAAGTAAAGCTCGAGATTGTTGTTTACATTTATATTGTAAACACCATCCATAAGGGTGCGAGAGAGTAGAAATTATCTCAGTTCGTGTTCTTTAAATGCAAGTGAAAGGGTAAAAATTCCCAAATTCAGAGTGGTTCGCAAACTGGGAGAGTCTAAATGATTGACTTTCATCCAGCAGAACCCCGACATTATAAAGTTCATTAACAGTTTGTGAACACACTTGCCAAAGAAAGACTACTAATTATTTTGAAAGTGTGAAAACGAAATTTTTTCAACGTTTCCTCAATGTTAGTTCCGAGAATGACCAAAATCGAGAGAATGTCGACTTTCACCGATGAATGTCAACAATCACATAGTCGCTTTCGTGAATGTCAAAAATATTAGTTATATCCGATCTTATATTAATTTATTCGTTAATATTATTAAATTTGTTCGATATTTCAAAATCTGCTGAAGATAGATGAGGAGAAACATCAGTGTTCGAAGTACCGGTTAAATGCATACTAGACAGTGGCACTTGATGTAAAAATACATTGATGTATTGTATACCGGGAAGTGGCATTGAACTTTAAAAATACATCAGTGTAGGGTATATCTGGCAAATGTATACCGGGCAGTGGCACTTAACTAGACGTAGTATATATTTCGGACAATTACCAAAGCGACTATGTAATTTTTATAACCATCTTTGGACAGCAGACCCAA